TTACCGTACTATTTGGGGATAGCCACATCTAAGTATTATGAGAGGGCCCCTTCCTTATATTGAAATTGAGGTCTAATCCTAGCCAAGTATCATGTGGTGCTCCCTTTTGACTAATGCTTAGCCTAAAGTTTTGGAATGATCATACCCAAGCCTGGAAGTAAGATGGCTTGCTCTGATCTTTGTGGTCACGCTCCCAAGCATCCAGGCGCTGCTTCCAGGCTACGTTCTTGGCAGAGACGAAGTAGCGGGCCAGTCCAGTCCCATCGGCCTCATAGAAACGGACCCTTTCCTTGCGCCACTGCTTGAGAAATTCCACATCCCGGCCGTCGCACATGCGTCTGCCAGCTTTGGCTGTCTGCAGGTGGAAAAAATCCAGAAGATTGCGCGTAGCTTTCTCCCCGGACTCACAGGCAGCCATCAAGGTAGACACGGACGGGGCTTTTCCACGAGTGGCTGCACTCGTTGTTGATGCATCTGACGGTGTAGACGCCCTTGTTGCACATGTCCGTGTAGGTACGTTTCTGGCCTCGTAGCCGAGGAGCAACAAACTGGAGCTGGGAGGCGTATTTCCCAGAGCGACAGTTCAGTCATGTGTCTGGCAGGCGCAGCAGCCCTTTGGCACAGGTTTCGTCCCATTTTCGCTGCATGACACGCAGCTGTGACTCGAACAGAGGCTCCGAGGCGTTGACCGGCACAGGCTTGGAGGACTTCAGCCGGGGCCGTGCCGCGGGTTTCTTGCGGCGGGCTCCAGTGTACTCCTTTGACCGTGCTGTTCGCAACTGACCGAAGGACTCAGCACTGACTCTTGGCTTCTGCCGGCCCGCTTGCTTGGAGAGACATCCCATGGCTTTCTTTTCGTTCGCAAGCATTTTCCGAAACTTCTGCGCGCCGGAAAGGCTACAACCACGAACATTGTGGCCATGGGCACCGCATAGTGCGCAGACATGCTTCTGCGGCATGTCTGCGCCAAACCCCGTAACGGTGCTAGGCACCGGTACCCCGAAAACGTACACTACGATAGGAGAAGCCATCTAGTCATCAGACGCACGAAGACTGCAACATCCTGGCAACTCTGAAAACACATACGCCAAAAAGTGGAAGCGTATGAACCCTGCATACTAAGAGAACACCCCTTGTCATGAGCTGTGGGCAACATGTACACATATCTTTCCAATTTCGTTCATGAAAGCAAGTGCCGCACGGCGTCCCGACTGCATATATATATATATA